AAAATTAAAATACTTTAATTTTAACTTTTTAAGTGTTTGAGTAAAACTGAATTATAATCTGGGTATAACTGAATTGTAATCTGTATATAATCTGAGTATAACTGAATTTCGGGGGTTTGCAATCTTCTTCATGTATTCTGTTAGGGATATTTGACAATTAAGGCAAAAAAGAAAGTTTATAAAATTCACTTTAAAGTTTTCTTTCAATGTACAAATTTAATGGAAATTGCTTTTAGGCCAATTTTAATTTATTTTTAATATTGAAATTAATTTTAATTGCAGATTTAAATTCGACAGTTTCCAAGAGCTTTTCTGTCAATTTAATGCTGAAACAATTTTTAAAATGCTAAATTGTGTTTTAATTAAATGCCAACAATGTTATGAAAATTTAATTCATTGAAAAATAAATATATTTTGGACTTAATTGATTATTTTTATTTGCATTCCCCTTGATCTTCACACATTCTCTTGGGGATATTTGAAATTTATGGAGAAAAGAAACTTTACAAAATTTAGTGATTTTAATTTATTTTTGACTTTGAAAATAATTGCAGATTTAAATATGGATCAATAGAAAAGTTCACTTTTGAACTTTATTGGCTATATTATTTGCATTCTCCTGATCTTCATATGTTCTGTTTGGGATATTTGACCATTTATGCAAATAAGAAACTTTATAAAATTCACTTTAAGATATTCTTTTAATGTACAAATTTAATGAAATTTGCCTTTAGTGCTGATTTTAATTTATTTCTGACATGAAATTAATTTTAATTGCAGATTTAAATTCGACAGTTTGCAAGAGTTTATGTTAATTTATTGCTGAAATAATTTTTAAATCTGCTAAATTCTGTTTCAGTTAAGTGCCAACAATGTTATAAAAATTTAATTCATTTAAAAATAAAATATATTTTGGACTTATCTGATCATTTTATTTACACTGCTCTTGATCTGCACACATTCTGTTTGGGGTATTTGACATATAATTGCAGAAAAGGAAATTTATAGAATTTTCTGAAGTAATCTTTCAATGTACAAATTTAATAAAATTTGCAATTAGTGATGATTTTAATTTATTTTTGGTATTGAAATTAACTTTAATTGCAGATTTAAATATGGATTATTTGGAAAGTTCGGGAGTTTCCGGGAGTTTTTTTAACTTAATGCTTAGTTTTAATTATTCATTTAAATGTGGATCGTTAAGAATGTTCGACAGTTTCCAAGAGTTTTTGAAAATTTAATACTGAAAAAATTTTTAAAATGTTAAATTCTGTTTAATTAAGTGCCAAAGATGTTAGAAAAATATTATTCATTTAAAAATAAATATATTTTGAACTTAATTCACAATTTTATTTGCATTCCCCTTGATCTTCATGTATTCTGTTAGGAATATTTGACAATTTATGCAAAAAAAATTTATAAAATTCACTTTAATGTGAAAGATTTTTCAATGCAGAATTTAATAAAATTTGCAACTATAATTAATTTCAATCATTTTTTAATATTGAAATTAATTTTTGATCACAGTTTCAGATACGGATATTTAACGATTTTCGACAATTTTTAGGAGTTTTTGTACATTTAATATTAAAAAAAGTTTTAATATTTCAAAATTCTGTTTAGTTATGTGTCAAAGATGTTAGGGAAATATAATTCATTTTGAAATAAATGTATTTTGAACTTATTTGATTACTTTTATTTGCATTATACTTCATCTGCTTACATCTTGTCAAGGATTTTGGATATTTTATGCAAAAGAAAAACTTTTAAAAATCAACTTTGAAGCAAACTTTCAATACAAAAATTAATTGAATTTGCAATTATAAATGATTTCAATTATTTTTAAAATATTAAAATTAAATTTAGTCACAATTCTAGACATGGTTATTTAAGAAATTTCGACAATTTTTAGAAGTTTTTTATAAATTTAGTATTAAAAAAAATTTTAGTTTTTCTTAATTCTGTTTCAATTAGGTGCCAAAGATATTAGAAAAATATTATTCATTAAAAATAAATATATTTTGAACATAATAGATCATTTTTGCTTGCATTCCCCTTGATCTTCGTGTATTCTGTGGGGATATTTGACAATTCAGACAAAAGAAAGGTTTATAAAATTCACTTTAAAGTATTCTTTCAATGTACAAATTTAATAAAATTTATTTTTGACATTGAAATTAATTTTAATTGCAGATTTAAAATCGATAAGAGTCTTTGTTAATTTAATACAGAAAAAATTTTTAAATCCGCTAAATTCTGTTTCAGGTAAGTGCCAACAATGTTATAAAAATTTAATTCATTTAAAAATAAAATATATTTTGGACTTTAATTGATCATTTTATTTACACTGCTCTTGATCTGCACACATTCTGTTTGGGATATTTCAAATTTAGTGATTTTAATTTATTTTTGACTTTGAAAACATATTTTGAACTTTATTGGCTATATTATTTGCATTTTCCTGATCTTCATATCTTCTGTTGGAGGTATTTGACCATTTATGCAAAAAAAATTTACTTTAAGGTATTCTTTTAATGTACAAATTTAATGAAATTTGCCTTTAGTGCTGATTTTAATTTATTTCTGACATGAAATTAATTTTAATTGCAGATTTAAATATGGATTATTTGCAAAGTTCGGGAGTTTCCAAGAGTTTTTTAAACTTAATGCTTAATTTTAATTGTACATTTAAATATGGATCATTAAGAAAGTTCGACAGTTTCTAAGAGTTTCGTATTGACCAGTATATATTCTGGCGGAGTTATTTGAGAATTTAAGCAAAAAAGAAAGTTTATAAAATCCACTTTGGAGTAATATTTCAATGTTGAAGTAAAAAAAAATTTGCAATTATTAGTGATTAAAAATTTTTTTTGGCATTAAAAATAATTTTAATTACAAATTTAAAAATGGATTATTAGGAAAGTTCCAAGATTTCCAAGATTTTGTTGATTTAATGTTGAAAACATTTTTAAAAACGCTCGATTCTATTTTAATTAAATGCCAAAAACGTCAGAAGAAATGTAATTAATTTAAAAACAAATATATTTTGGACTTAATTGACTATTTTATTTCCATTCTCCTGATCTTCATATATAGTAAGGGTGAATTATTAGTAGCTCAGTTATTAGCTAAATGTTGTGATGTTTATAAGTGTGCAATTATATCAGTCACTATGAAATAATAATTAGGATTGGGATTTATCGAACTAGCCAAGACTTTCATTAGCTAACTGAATGCTTTAATTATTTAATTTCTAACTTTCTTGAGTGAATGAATTGCTCTTACTTATCACTGTCTGTTAAGTATAATGTTTCTTACATTTAACTTCTTTATTAGTCATTCTAGTTATTCAAATGTATTTTTTTAATGATGAAGACCGATGTGTGTGCCCGCTCGCTCGTTAAACCTTCTACTCATGGCCGCCTGTACGGTACGGTCTCTTCAGATGTGTGTATCCACCCGCTCGCTCGTTAACTCTTTTCCTCATTTCTGCCCTAACCTCACTGAGGGCGAGCACAGTGACTACGGTACGGTCTCTCCAGATGTATGTGCCCACCCTCTACGTATGCCTACCCCACCCTTTCCCTCATTTCTGCCCTAACCTCATCACTGAAGGCGAACAAAGTGTCTCCCCACCCGTTCGCTCCTCACACGCACACACCCCAACACTGAGCCCCCAATTCACCCAGTCGATTATCACTGTACTCTCCTAGGCCTATACAGTCTTTTCTAAAAAACACAGGACTTCCTTTGTCCTTGTGCGCACATATATAGCCACATCCTCGTCATCAGGTCATTCGTGGAGCAATTGGGTCTGTCGAGCGTTCGGACGTTTGTTTTACTACTTTCCCATAATTCTTTTCACATTGCGTTTTAGGGGAAAGTTTTTTTCTCTTTTTTAAGTTATACTTTTTCTTTTTTTAAGTTATACTTTTTATTTTGGTTAAATTGTTATTATATTTTTAAGTCACTTTTAAGTCATCTTTTTAAGTAAATTACTCTTAAAGCGTAAGGACATCGAAGTTGGATTTGGTTGAGAAATGCATGAATGTAGATGTACTAAAATTTGAATTTCGTTATATCATAAATTCGGCCTCACTTTTTTTCCAATTTTTCATTAGCTAATTGAATGTTTCTTGGGACGGTTTTTGGCCAATTTCTATTTTTGTTGTATTGCTGCAGCTTATCGTTGTCGTGAAGAAAATCATTTATTGCAGAATTCGTTGGCGATAACCTAGTAACTTATTTAGTGTTGTTGGCAATGTTGGCGAACTGTTATTGGCAATTAGATCATCAAGGAAGATCTCGAAAAGAAGGAGGTTAGTCCATTTTTCATCTTTATGTTTAGCCTTTTTCCTTAGCTTTTTATTTTATGGTTTTCTGTACTTTTTTTATTGCCTCTAACTTGCATTTATGAATGAAATGTGTTATCATTCCGCCTGTGTATGGTATTGTTCTTTTGACGGACGGGGTTAATTAGTATTGATGACGGATGGGCTTGATTAGTTTTTCTTTTCAAGTAGTTTTACTTATACATGTATGTGTATTTTGTAGTGATGAAGGGGATGTGTGTGCCCAGCCACTCTGTGCGCCCACCGGCCCGCTTTTGCCCTTTTCGGTATACCCTCATTGAGGGCGAACGGAGTGCCTGTACAGTACGGTTTCTTTTGATGTCACAACCCCAACTCACCCAATCGATTGGTTCTATACTCCCTTAGGGTCTATACAGTCCTTTTAAAAAAAATGACCCGCGCCCTCCTGTACATTTCCCTCTTAACCTTATTGGGACAAAGGACTTCTTTGTCCATGTGTGCACACAGGCAAAGGCGCAGGCGGGGTGGCACACATATCGCCACATCCTCATCATTTAGTCATTCGTGAGCAGTCGGACGTGTCGAGCGGTTGGAGATTTATTTTATTACTTCCTAGTAGCTTCTTTCAAGTGGGTTTTTGTGAGTTTCGTTGGCGAAAACTTGATGACTTTTTCAGTGTTGCTGGAGATGTTTCGCCTTGTTCGACGTCATGGCGATGTTGATATTGTGGTATTGGTACATTGTGATGGACCCCTTCGATTGGCAAATAGATCAACAAGCAAGTTCTCGAAAGGAACGAACACCAGGTGAGTCAGTTTTTCATTTTTGTATTAAGTTTTCAGTTATTTTCTTGTACTTAGCAATTAAACTGAGATGTTTTAGATATGTTTTGTGTCGTAAATGATTAGTATTTTTTGTTAGGTTTTTAATTTTATGGTTTTCTATATTTTTGTTGCCATATTTTTGTGATTGTAATGTTTTTTCTAGTATTTTCTATGATTTTACTTGTGCCAAATTAGCGACACCATGTCTCGAAGGAATAGATAGGTCTCAGAAATGTGAGAGGAGGGATGCGTGTGGTACGGGAGACGACGGATAGGCATTGGGGAGGTGAATACAGACAGGGGCGGGTCTAGGAATACGGGGAGGGTTGACACTTACTCCAATAAGGTGAGGAAAATGGACGGACATTGGAAAGGGGAGGCGGGTGAAGGCATGCGGGCGTTTCTCAGGGGAGCAGGGATGCGTAAGATACGGAAGATGGGCGGACATTGGAAAGTACAGGGCGGGTCTAGGAGTGCAGACGGGGTGACGCTTACTCCGCTTACACTAATGGAATTTTTTCTGTATATTTCCCGTGCTGATGAGGCTTAGGCTTAGGCTTAGGCTTAAACTTAGGCTTATGTGAAGAAATGATGAAAATAGTGAAGGAATATGTGAAGAAATGATGAAAATGTAAAGGAATATGTGAAGAAATGAAGAAAATATTGAGCTTAGGCTTAGGCTTAGGCTTAGGCTTAGGCTTAGGCTTAGGCTTAGGCTTAGGCTTAGGCTTAGGCTTAGGCTTAGGCTTAGGCTTAGGCTTAGGCTTAGGCTTAGGCTTAGGCTTAGGCTTAGGCTTAGGCTTAGGCTTAGGCTTAGGCTTAGGCTTAGGCTTAGGCTTAGGCTTAGGCTTAGGCTTAGGCTTAGGCTTAGGCTTAGGCTTAGGCTTAGGCTTAGGCTTAGGCTTAGGCTTAGCTTAGCTTAGGCTTAGGCTTAGGCTTAGGCTTAGGCTTAGGCTTAGGCTTAGGCTTAGGCTTAGGCTTAGGCTTAGGCTTAGGCTTAGGCTTAGGCTTAGGCTTAGGCTTAGGCTTAGGCTTAGGCTTAGGCTTAGGCTTAGGCTTAGGCTTAGGCTTAGGCTTAGGCTTAGGCTTAGGCTTAGGCTTAGGCTTAGGCTTAGGCTTAGGCTTAGGCTTAGGCTTAGGCTTAGGCTTCTTAGGCTTAGGCTTAGGCTTAGGCTTAGGCTTAGGCTTAGGCTTAGGCTTAGGCTTAGGCTTAGGCTTAGGCTTAGGCTTAGGCTTAGGCTTAGGCTTAGGCTTAGGCTTAGGCTTAGGCTTAGCTTAGGCTTAGGCTTAGGCTTAGGCTTAGGCTTAGGCTTAGGCTTAGGCTTAGGCTTAGGCTTAGGCTTAGGCTTAGGCTTAGGCTTAGGCTTAGGCTTAGGCTTAGGCTTAGGCTTAGGCTTAGGCTTAGGCTTAGGCTTAGGCTTAGGCTTAGGCTTAGGCTTAGGCTTATTAGGCTTAGGCTTAGGCTTAGGCTTAGGCTTAGGCTTAGGCTTAGGCTTAGGCTTAGGCTTAGGCTTAGGCTTAGGCTTAGGCTTAGGCTTAGGCTTAGGCTTAGGCTTAGGCTTAGGCTTAGGCTTAGGCTTAGGCTTAGGCTTAGCTTAGGCTTAGGCTTAGGCTTAGGCTTAGGCTTAGGCTTAGGCTTAGGCTTAGGCTTAGGCTTAGGCTTAGGCTTAGGCTTAGGCTTAGGCTTAGGCTTAGGCTTAGGCTTAGCTTAGGCTTAGGCTTAGGCTTAGGCTTAGGCTTAGGCTTAGGCTTAGGCTTAGGCTTAGGCTTAGGCTTAGGCTTAGGCTTAGGCTTAGGCTTAGGCTTAGGCTTAGGCTTAGGCTTAGGCTTAGGCTTAGGCTTAGGCTTAGGCTTAGGCTTAGGCTTAGGCTTAGGCTTAGGCTTCTTAGGCTTAGGCTTAGGCTTAGGCTTAGGCTTAGGCTTAGGCTTAGCCTAAGCCTAGGCTTAGGCTTAGGCTTAGGCTTAGGCTTAGGCTTAGGCTTAGGCTTAGGCTTAGGCTTAGGCTTAGGCTTAGGCTTAGGCTTAGGCTTAGGCTTAGGCTTAGGCTTAGGCTTAGGCTTAGGCTTAGGCTTAGGCTTAGGCTCTTAGGCTTAGGCTTAGGCTTAGGCTTAGGCTTAGGCTTAGGCTTAGGCTTAGGCTTAGGCTTAGGCTTAGGCTTAGGCTTAGGCTTAGGCTTAGGCTTAGGCTTAGGCTTAGGCTTAGGCTTAGGCTTAGGCTTAGGCTTAGGCTTAGGCTTAGGCTTAGGCTTAGGCTTAGGCTTAGGCTTAGGCTTAGGCTTAGGCTTAGGCTTAGGCTTAGGCTTAGGCTTAGGCTTAGGCTTAGGCTTAGGCTTAGGCTTAGGCTTAGGCTTAGGCTTAGGCTTAGGCTTAGGCTTAGGCTTAGGCTTAGGCTTAGGCTTAGGCTTAGGCTTCAGGCTTAGGCTTAGGCTTAGGCTTAGGCTTAGGCTTAGGCTTAGGCTTAGGCTTAGGCTTAGGCTTAGGCTTAGGCTTAGGCTTAGGCTTAGGCTTAGGCTTAGGCTTAGGCTTAGGCTGAGGCTTAGGCTTAGGCTTAGGCTTAGGCTTAGGCTTAGGCTTAGGCTTAGGCTTAGGCTTAGGCTTAGGCTTAGGCTTAGGCTTAGGCTTAGGCTTAGGCTTAGGCTTAGGCTTAGGCTTAGGCTTAGGCTTAGGCTTAGGCTTAGGCTTAGGCTTAGGCTTAGGCTTAGGCTTAGGCTTAGGCTTAGGCTTAGGCTTAGCTTAGGCTTAGGCTTAGGCTTAGGCTTAGGCTTAGGCTTAGGCTTAGGCTTAGGCTTAGGCTTAGGCTTAGGCTTAGGCTTAGGCTTAGGCTTAGGCTTAGGCTTAGGCTTAGGCTTGGGCTTAGGCTTAGGCTTAGGCTTAGGCTTAGGCTTAGGCTTAGGCTTAGGCTTAGGCTTAGGCTTAGGCTTAGGCTTAGGCTTAGGCTTAGGCTTAGGCTTAGGCTTAGGCTTAGGCTTAGGCTTAGGCTTAGGCTTAGGCTTAGGCTTAGGCTTAGGCTTAGGCTTAGGCTTAGGCTTAGGCTTAAGCCTAAGGCTTAGGCTTAGGCTTAGGCTTAGGCTTAGGCTTAGGCTTAGGCTTAGGCTTAGGCTTAGGCTTAGGCTTAGGCTTAGGCTTAGGCTTAGGCTTAGGCTTAGGCTTAGGCTTAGGCTTAGGCTTAGGCTTAGGCTTAGGCTTAGGCTTAGGCTTAGGCTTAGGCTTAGGCTTAGGCTTAGGCTTAGGCTTAGGCTTAGGCTTAGGCTTAGGCTTAGGCTTAGGCTTAGGCTTAGGCTTAGGCTTAGGCTTAGGCTTAGGCTTAGGCTTAGGCTTAGGCTTAGGCTTAGGCTTAGGCTTAGGCTTAGGCTTAGGCTTAGGCTTAGGCTTAGGCTTAGGCTTAGGCTTAGGCTTAGGCTTAGGCTTAGGCTTAGGCTTAGGCTTAGGCTTAGGCTTAGGCTTAGGCTTAGGCTTAGGCTTAGGCTTAGGCTTAGGCTTAGGCTTAGGCTTAGGCTTAGGCTTAGGCTTAGGCTTAGGCTTAGGCTTAGGCTTAGGCTTAGGCTTAGGCTTAGGCTTAGGCTTAGGCTTAGGCTTAGGCTTAGGCTTAGGCTTAGGCTTAGGCTTAGGCTTAGGCTTAGGCTTAGGCTTAGGCTTAGGCTTAGGCTTAGGCTTAGGCTTAGGCTTAGGCTTAGGCTTAGGCTTAGGCTTAGGCTTAGGCTTAGGCTTAGGCTTAGGCTTAGGCTTAGGCTTAGGCTTAGGCTTAGGCTTAGGCTTAGGCTTAGGCTTAGGCTTAGGCTTAGGCTTAGGCTTAGGCTTAGGCTTAGGCTTAGGCTTAGGCTTAGGCTTAGGCTTAGGCTTAGGCTTAGGCTTAGGCTTAGGCTTAGGCTTAGGCTTAGGCTTAGGCTTAGGCTTAGGCTTAGGCTTAGGCTTAGGCTTAGGCTTAGGCTTAGGCTTAGGCTTAGGCTTAGGCTTAGGCTTAGGCTTAGGCTTAGGCTTAGGCTTAGGCTTAGGCTTAGGCTTAGGCTTAGGCTTAGGCTTAGGCTTAGGCTTAGGCTTAGGCTTAGGCTTAGGCTTAGGCTTAGGCTTAGGCTTAGGCTTAGGCTTAGGCTTAGGCTTAGGCTTAGGCTTAGGCTTAGGCTTAGGCTTAGGCTTAGGCTTAGGCTTAGGCTTAGGCTTAGGCTTAGGCTTAGGCTTAGGCTTAGGCTTAGGCTTAGGCTTAGGCTTAGGCTTAGGCTTAGGCTTAGGCTTAGGCTTAGGCTTAGGCTTAGGCTTAGGCTTAGGCTTAGGCTTAGGCTTAGGCTTAGGCTTAGGCTTAGGCTTAGGCTTAGGCTTAGGCTTAGGCTTAGGCTTAGGCTTAGGCTTAGGCTTAGGCTTAGGCTTAGGCTTAGGCTTAGGCTTAGGCTTAGGCTTAGGCTTAGGCTTAGGCTTAGGCTTAGGCTTAGGCTTAGCCTTAGGCTTAGGCTTAGGCTTAGGCTTAGGCTTAGGCTTAGGCTTAGGCTTAGGCTTAGGCTTAGGCTTAGGCTTAGGCTTAGGCTTAGGCTTAGGCTTAGGCTTAGGCTTAGGCTTAGGCTTAGGCTTAGGCTTAGGCTTAGGCTTAGGCTTAGGCTTAGGCTTAGGCTTAGGCTTAGGCTTAGGCTTAGGCTTAGGCTTAGGCTTAGGCTTAGGCTTAGGCTTAGGCTTAGGCTTAGGCTTAGGCTTAGGCTTAGGCTTAGGCTTAGGCTTAGGCTTAGGCTTAGGCTTAGGCTTAGGCTTAGGCTTAGGCTTAGGCTTAGGCTTAGGCTTAGGCTTAGGCTTAGGCTTAGGCTTAGGCTTAGGCTTAGGCTTAGGCTTAGGCTTAGGCTTAGGCTTAGGCTTAGGCTTAGGCTTAGGCTTAGGCTTAGGCTTAGGCTTAGGCTTAGGCTTAGGCTTAGGCTTAGGCTTAGGCTTAGGCTTAGGCTTAGGCTTAGGCTTAGGCTTAGGCTTAGGCTTAGGCTTAGGCTTAGGCTTAGGCTTAGGCTTAGGCTTAGGCTTAGGCTTAGGCTTAGGCTTAGCTTAGGCTTAGGCTTAGGCTTAGGCTTAGGCTTAGGCTTAGGCTTAGGCTTAGGCTTAGGCTTAGGCTTAGGCTTAGGCTTAGGCTTAGGCTTAGGCTTAGGCTTAGGCTTAGGCTTAGGCTTAGGCTTAGGCTTAGGCTTAGGCTTAGGCTTAGGCTTAGGCTTAGGCTTAGGCTTAGGCTTAGGCTTAGGCTTAGGCTTAGGCTTAGGCTTAGGCTTAGGCTTAGGCTTAGGCTTAGGCTTAGGCTTAGGCTTAGGCTTAGGCTTAGGCTTAGGCTTAGGCTTAGGCTTAGGCTTAGGCTTAGGCTTAGGCTTAGGCTTAGGCTTAGGCTTAGGCTTAGGCTTAGGCTTAGGCTTAGGCTTAGGCTTAGGCTTAGGCTTAGGCTTAGGCTTAGGCTTAGGCTTTTAGGCTTAGGCTTAGGCTTAGGCTTAGGCTTAGGCTTAGGCTTAGGCTTAGGCTTAGGCTTAAGCTTAGGCTTAGGCTTAGGCTTAGGCTTAGGCTTAGGCTTAGGCTTAGGCTTAGGCTTAGGCTTAGGCTTAGTCTTAGGCTTAGGCTTAGGCTTAGGCTTAGGCTTAGGCTTAGGCTTAGGCTTAGGCTTAGGCTTAGGCTTAGGCTTAGGCTTAGGCTTAGGCTTAGGCTTAGGCTTAGGCTTAGGCTTAGGCTTAGGCTTAGGCTTGCTTAGGCTTAGGCTTAGGCTTAGGCTTAGGCTTAGGCTTAGGCTTAGGCTTAGGCTTAGGCTTAGGCTTAGGCTTAGGCTTAGGCTTAGGCTTAGGCTTAGGCTTAGGCTTAGGCTTAGGCTTAGGCTTAGGCTTAGGCTTAGGCTTAGGCTTAGGCTTAGGCTTAGGCTTAGGCTTAGGCTTAGGCTTAGGCTTAGGCTTAGGCTTAGGCTTAGGCTTAGGCTTAGGCTTAGGCTTAGGCTTAGGCTTAGGCTTAGGCTTAGGCTTAGGGGTAGGGGCTTAGGCTTAGGCTTAGGCTTAGGCTTAGGCTTAGGCTTTAGGCTTAGGCTTAGGCTTAGGCTTAGGCTTAGGCTTAGGCTTAGGCTTAGGCTTAGGTTTAGGCTTAGGCTTAGGCTTAGGCTTAGGCTTAGGCTTAGGCTTAGGCTTAGGCTTAGGCTTAGGCTTAGGCTTAGGCTTAGGCTTAGGCTTAGGCTTAGGCTTAGGCTTAGGCTTAGGCTTAGGCTTAGGCTTAGGCTTAGGCTTAGGCTTAGGCTTAGGCTTAGGCTAAGGCTTAGGCTTAGGCTTAGGCTTAGGCTTAGGCTTAGGCTTAGGCTTAGGCTTAGGCTTAGGCTTAGGCTTAGGCTTAGGCTTAGCTTAGGCTTAGGCTTAGGCTTAGGCTTAGGCTTAGGCTTAGGCTTAGGTTCTTAGGCTTAGGCTTAGGCTTAGGCTTAGGCTTAGGCTTAGGCTTAGGCTTAGGCTTAGGCTTAGGCTTAGGCTTAGGCTTAGGCTTAGGCTTAGGCTTAGGCTTAGGCTTAGGCTTAGGCTTAGGCTTAGGCTTAGGCTTAGGCTTAGGCTTAGGCTTAGGCTTAGGCTTAGGCTTAGGCTTAGGCTTAGGCTTAGGCTTAGGCTTAGGCTTAGGCTTAGGCTTAGGCTTAGGCTTAGGCTTAGGCTTAGGCTTAGGCTTAGGCTTTAGGCTTAGGCTTAGGCTTAGGCTTAGGCTTAGGCTTAGGCTTAGGCTTAGGCTTAGGCTTAGGCTTAGGCTTAGGCTTAGGCTTAGGCTTAGGCTAGGCTTAGGCTTAGGCTTAGGCTTAGGCTTAGGCTTAGGCTTAGGCTTAGGCTTAGGCTTAGGCTTAGGCTTAGGCTTAGGCTTAGGCTTAGGCTTAGGCTTTAGGCTTAGGCTTAGGCTTAGGCTTAGGCTTAGGCTTAGGCTTAGGCTTAGGCTTAGGCTTAGTCTTAGGCTTAGGCTTAGTCTTAGGCTTAGGCTTAGGCTTAGGCTTAGGCTTAGGCTTAGGCTTAGGCTTAGGCTTAGGCTTAGGCTTAGGCTTAGGCTTAGGCTTAGGCTTAGGCTTAGGCTTAGGCTTAGGCTTAGGCTTAGGCTTAGGCTTAGGCTTAGGCTTAGGCTTAGGCTTAGACTTAGGCTTAGGCTTAGGCTTAGGCTTAGGCTTAGGCTTAGGCTTAGGCTTAGGCTTAGGCTTAGGCTTAGGCTTAGGCTTAGGCTTAGGCTTAGGCTTAGGCTTAGGCGCTTAGGCTTAGGCTTAGGCTTAGGCTTAGGCTTAGGCTTAAGCTTAGGCTTAGGCTTAGGCTTAGGCTTAGGCTTAGGCTTAGGCTTAGGCTTAGGCTTAGGCTTAGGCTAGGCTTAGGCTTAGGCTTAGGCTTAGGCTTAGGCTTAGGCTTAGGCTTAGGCTTTAGGCTTAGGCTTAGGCTTAGGCTTAGGCTTAGGCTTAGGCTTAGGCTTAGGCTTAGGCTTGAGAATTAATTTAGGCTTAGGCTTAGGCTTAGGCTTAGGCTTAGGCTTAGGCTTAGGCTTAGGCTTAGGCTTAGGCTTAGGCTTAGGCTTAGGCTTAGGCTTAGGCTTAGGCTTAGGCTTAGGCTTAGGCTTAGGCTTAGGCTTTAGGCTTAGGCTTAGGCTTAGGCTTAGGCTTAGGCTTAGGCTTAGGCTTAGGCTTAGGCTTAGGCTTAGGCTTAGGCTTAGGCTTAGGCTTAGGCTTAGGCTTAGGCTTAGGCTTAGGCTTAGGCTTAGGCTTAGGCTTAGGCTTAGGCTTAGGCTTAGGCTTAGGCTTAGGCTTAGGCTTAGGCTTAGGCTTAGGCTTAGGCTTAGGCTTAGGCTTAGGCTTAGGCTTAGGCTTAGGCTTAGGCTTTGGCTTAGGCTTAGGCTTAGGCTTAGGCTTAGGCTTAGGCTTAGGCTTAGGCTTAGGCTTAGGCTTAGGCTTAGGCTTAGGCTTAGGCTTAGCTTTAGGCTTAGGCTTAGGCTTAGGCTTAGGCTTAGGCTTAGGCTTATCTTATAGGTATAGGTATAGGCTTAGGCTTAGGCTTAGGCTTAGGCTTAGGCTTAGGCTTAGGCTTAGGCTTAGGCTTAGGCTTAGGCTTAGGCTTAGGCTTAGGCTTAGGCTAGGCTTAGGCTTAGGCTTAGGCTTAGGCTTAGGCTTAGGCTTAGGCTTAGGCATAGGCTTAGGCTTAGGCTTAGGCTTAGGCTTAGGCTTAGGCTTAGGCTTTAGGCTTAGGCTTAGGCTTAGGCTTAGGCTTAGGCTTTAGGCTTAGGCTTAGGCTTAGGCTTAGGCTTAGGCTTAGGCTTAGGCTTAGGCTTAGGCTTAGGCTTAGGCTTAGGCTTAGGCTTAGGCTTAGGCTTAGGCTTAGGCTAAGGCTTAGGCTTAGGCTTAGGCTTAGGCTTAGCTTAGGCTTAGGCTTAGGCTTAGGCTTAGGCTTAGGCTTAGGCTTAGCTTAGGCTTAGGCTTAGGCTTAGGCTTAGGCTTAGGCTTAGGCTTAAGGCTTAGGCTTAGGCTTAGGCTTAGGCTTAGGCTTAGGCTTAGGCTTAGGCTTAGGCTTAGGCTTAGGCTTAGGCTTAGGCTTAGGCTTAGGCTTAGGCTTAGGCTTAGGCTTAGGCTTAGGCTTAGGCTTAGGCTTTTAGGCTTAGGCTTAGGCTTAGGCTTAGGCTTAGGCTTAGGCTTAGGCTTAGGCTTAGGCTTAGGCTTTAGGCTTAGGCTTAGGCTTAGGCTTAGGCTTAAGGCTTAGGCTTAGGCTTAGGCTTAGGCTTAGGCTTAGGCTTAGGCTTAGGCTTAGGCTTAGGCTTAGGCTTAGGCTTAGGCTTAGGCTTAGGCTTAGGCTTAGGCTTAGGCTTAGGCTTAGGCTTAGGCTTAGGCCTAAGCTTAGGCTTAGGCTTAGGCTTAGGCTTAGGCTTAGGCTTAGGCTTAGGCTTAGGCTTAGGCTTAGGCTTAGGCTTAGGCTTAGGCTTAGGCTTAGGCTTAGGCTTAGGCTTAGGCTTAGGTCTTAGGCTTAGGCTTAGGCTTAGGCTTAGGCTTAGGCTTAGGCTTAGGCTTAGGCTTAGGCTTAGGCTTAGGCTTAGGCTTAGGCTTAGGCTTAGGCTTAGGCTTAGGCTTAGGCTTAGGCTTAGGCTTAGGCTTAGGCTTAGGCTTAGGCTTAGGCTTAGGCTTAGGCTTAGGCTTAGGCTTAGGCTTAGGCTTAGGCTTAGGCTTAGGCTTAGGCTTAGCTTAGGCTTAGGCTTAGGCTTAGGCTTAGGCTTAGGCTTAGGCTTAGGCTTAGGCTTAGGCTTTAGGCTTAGGCTTAGGCTTAGGCTTAGGCTTAGGCTTAGGCTTAGGCTTAGGCTTAGGCTTAGGCTTAGGCTTAGGCTTAGCTTAGGCTTAGGCTTAGGCTTAGGCTTAGGCTTAGGCTTAGGCTTAGGCTTAGGCTTAGGCTTAGGCTTAGGCTTAGGCTTAGGCTTAGGCTTAGGCTTAGGCTTAGGCTTAGGCTTAGGCTTAGGCTTAGGCTTAGGCTTAGGCTTAGGTTAGGCTTAGGCTTAGGCTTAGGCTTAGGCTTAGGCTTAGGCTTAGGCTTAGGCTTAGGCTTAGGCTTAGGCTTAGGCTTAGGCTTAGGCTTAGGCTTAGGCTTAGGCTTAGGCTTAGGCTTAGGCTTAGGCTTAGGCTTAGGCTTAGGCTTAGGCTTAG